ATGAAGTTCGAACTTCAATCTCGAAACTTTGATCTTAAAATTAAAAATTTTAATTTCATCTTGCACACTTCATATAGGCAATTCTGATTTAAATTTTGAAACTTTAACCCAAAACTCAGAGTGCACAAGATATTTTTGATTCTTTTTTAAATTAATGTCTTGTATATTTAAATTTTTAAGCAACTCAGATTGGTGTTTCACACAACTATTCAATATATAATAAAATGTAAAAATAGTTGAATTTTTAGACTAAAAATAACTAACTTTTTTATCTTGAATAAGAAGAAAAAAGATCTTATAAATCACTACTTTTTTTGCAGTGAATGTCTAGCATTGCTAAGTGACTAGAAAACAGACATATTTTTTTTACGAAAAAACTATGAGTGCTACAAGAATTTACAAAGAACACAAAATTGTGAACACATAATTAGTGCATCAACCTAAAAAAAATGAATTGATTTCATCCTCCAACTAAAAAGTTCTGGTAGTTTTTGTACCACGACACTCAAGAATTCACCACTTGTCGAAAACGGCTGAACTCGATTGTTTCAACAAAATATGAGTCTTACATAAGAACAAATTCACAGCGAGTTTTACTAAAATACATCGTACCATTCTCCCGATATTTCAAAAAAGATCAATTTTTTGAAGAATTTTGACGATCAATAGCAGACGAGCCAGACATTTTTTGCTATTAAAAGTTAGGTCAGATCGTCTTCTTTTGGTCCAAAGAATACCGCAATACCCTTTTGATCATGAGCTTACGGGACACCCTGTATAGTAAAATTCAAAGACCTAATTTTGAATCGCATTACTTATATTAAACAATATAATAACATAATATTTTTGCTTTGATAGCCAGTTAATTCAAATAATATCTACCCTAATTTTGAAAAAAATTGTTCTATAGCATTATTTTTCTGAATATTCATTGAAATGTTTGATATTACAAATGAACCCTAATTAAAAAATCCAAATTGCCATTTTAATGTTATGATTAAGAGACTGCGCAAAGTTGCGCAAGTTTCTTCCGCCAATTTCAATTTCATTTAATTACAATCCCAGTCATTTTATTTGCCTAAGATTARGGAAACAATGACAAGTTAAATATACCGGGTAATTCTTAAAAATCAAAAACAATCTTTGTTTTAATATCAACATCAAGTTTATMTGTGTAACTTARAGTTAACTTTCCTTATGAATGTCGCTATTCAGTCAAGTACTGTTATTCTACTATCAAACTGGTGAGAGTGAARATTTTAATTAACTTTATGATGCGTGCCGGGGGTGAAGGTGGTCCACGAACCAGAAGAAATGTTGACTTGTTTGGAGMTGGAAATAAGTAAGATTATTTGAACATCGCCAAAACSTCTTTGTTTACTTGTTACAATAATTTCAAATTTCACTGAACTTATACATCTAAACCATATATTAGCAAAGAATACCACAAGTATATAAACTTGAACTTTGAGAATTGAAGCATATACATGTTTAGAAAGTTACATAATTTCCTTCAGAAAAAATACATTTCTTTCGAAAACAGCATACTTGTACGCTATCGCTTTTGATTGAWCCCTCAAGRTGTTTATTASAGAAAGATTCAGCAGGTCWCAGCAGGTTTTGTATGTTAAATGATATACATTTTTCTTTCAGGAAAGGGCAACGTGAACAGGCCACAGATCCCAATGCTCCAAAAAARGACCGAATAGAATTTGATAACATTAATATCAAGCTCAAGTTCAAGGTTTGTAGACTTTAGCTACTATTAGAACATGTTATGCGGTAATAAATGTGATAAAATKTAGAGTTTAAGATGCTTCTCGGTACAAATTGTTTATGTTGCAATATCCTACTTTTCTTAACAGCAGTACTCAACCGAAAACAATAGTTAATGAAGCCTGTATCCAACGGTAAATGCAATTAGTTGGGAACGGTTTATCAGCATTTAATGAAAATTCTTCATATTTACTGCACATTTTGCCGAAAATTGGTGTTACCTATATTATGTCATGTAACTGGAGTCTATCAAGGCTTTCTCTCCATTATAGAGCTGCGTTTTTTAAGGAAGTGATGTCAGGATTTTCTGAGTCTCAACTTTTAGGAAACTAGTTTGTTGAACAAACTTTATCAGTTAAGATGGTAATACAATACTTATTTGGAATAGGAAAAAGAAGAAGTGAAGTCAACATGGACAGGACTTTTTAAGAAGCTGAAAATTTTAGCTCCATTTTTATGGCCGAAGAATTCAGCAATACTGCAAGCAAGAGTCCTAGTCTGCTTTATACTTCTCGGCTTAGGCCGAGCTGTTAATTTGTATATTCCAATCTACAATAAGAAAATTGGTGAGAAAACTGAAAATTCTACCAAAAACGCAAGTTACATGTTTCCTATGGTATTTCAGTG